CACATTTTTTTATTAAGTCATGTTATCTATTTTTAAACTCTCACTAAGCATGTCATAAAACAAGAAAACCAAACAGTTATAAGGCAGAAAACAGCAACAAGAAGTTATTAGATTTACTCTGAGAGCATTAAGAACTTCAAGGAATACATTTGTATTAAACTTGTACTAACTGAAAGACTAAATCTACCTCTGATAAATGAAGACTGCCTCCTCCAAGCAAGGAAGATTGCTCTTTAAAGTCCACCCATTCTTTACTCCTTAATACATATTAGACAGATCCCTAGATTGGTAGAGGTACTACCACATGCTGTACACAGCAAGAAAAAAAATACTGATCCTTTTATTTCTACATCTTATCACACTGATAACTAGCTTTTAGAAAAGAGATACCAACTGCTTAGGAAAAATGTCAGAGCCATATAGATAACCACCAATTTCCTTATTGAAGTGGATTTCAAGTGGTAGCTATTAGAAGAAATATTCTGCCCTTTAATTAGAATAAAATTTGTTATTGATTTTTATATTTTTCTAGCACACAAGTTTGGAATATATGCTCCACACATGCTATATTAATATTCCAAATATATTATTAGATCAATATTTATTATCATGGAAAGATATTCCACTGTAATGGAAAGTTGCTGTACCCATACATTAAAATTTAGGTAAAATACATTCAACAACACAGATATTAGTTCATAGTTTCTGTGTTGTTTTCTGTAGCACTACTCTCATGCATGTGCAACAACAACATTTAAGCTTAGAATAACAAAATTCTACTTAGTTCTGTAAATCAAAGGACTAAAAGGATATAATTCAATTTATCTTATTCTAGACCTGTAATAGCAGCAGACAATTAGCTTTGCTTCCCCCTACCCGCCCTTCTTTAGATTCTCCTTGCAGTCAATGAGGAAAAAAGACAGATTTTTACTTATTCTTTCTTCTTCCTGCTCACTACAAAAACAAAATAGGTAGAGCTAGTATTTAAGTATAGCTAGAAGTCTCAACTTAGGTAAGATAAACTCCACTTGAAATCAACTATACTCCTGCCTGCTTATTTGGAATATAGGCAGACTATTGAGACTATTGTATTGAGGCGACTCACCACTGAGCATGTAAAACAAGGTATCTTTGACCAAGCTCATGAAGGAAGAATGCAACAAATTGTACTTAAAGTAGCACTGGTTAAGTTAAATCTATGTGACAATGTTTCTTCCACTTCATAAAGTATACAATCCTATTATGAAAGCCTCCCAAAAGAAAACTCCAATTTTCAAAACTTCAGAAATTTTTTTTAAAGCATGCCAGCCCCTGGCATAGGGAATTAGACAAAGTATTACACATTATGAAGCCTTTGATTTGCTTAAGGGGTCATCCCCTTAATTACCTGGTGGAAGGCAGTTTTGGAGCTAAATTGGCATAAATAAAAGACAGTCATAGGTACTAGATGGCTCTAAACTTTTGTAAAGTCATCTGTCAAATTCAACAGAATTATTGCTGAATCTGCAAGAGCATAAATATTGAAATATTCATGAAAATTCCTTAATCCACAGCCTGAAATTATAAACAGACTGGCTGTTTTCCCAGTTATCCATTAACTCTAGTACAGTAACTCTTTTTAAACTGTAAACAATGATATATGAGTCTGACAGAAAATCAGGTCCTCTGCAGACTTTCAAAAGAAGCAAAGCCTCAGTCATGAAGCTAGCTGCATTGCCAGAAAAAAGAAACACTCTGACTACAGAAAAATAAAAACTTATGTCTGATTCTGCAGAGGAATGCAAGCCCAAGGCTACTACTTAGACTTTATCCTATTTAAGTGAGCCAAGAAAAATGCTTGCAGGTACCTGCACAGACAAGGAGTACTATGCATGGCAACCTGCTCATTTGCCAGCAGATGAAAGTCATAAGCACAGGCTGTTGTGTTTCTGCAGAGGTTTGTCTGTGATACTGTATACACATCTTTCCCACACATCTGAACAAGGCTTTGTCTGCCTGAGTGGCACTGAAGTACCTACATAGCTCTTGATCTAGGTCAGGCCAATTTCAAGGATCAATGCCATGACCTCTCCTGTTCCCCTGCAATACAGATATAATTCACATTAAACCTACTACAGTTTATCCCAGTAAGCCTTCCCAGGTATTCACCCTAGATGGCACCTTTTAGTTTACCAATGCATAATGGAAACAAAAAAAATTAATTTGTTAATTGTTCATGTAGCAAATAACTGCATCCCTTCTTGTGCCCCAGCTATTCTGTAAGAGGTGGTGATCATAGCTCCTATTCTTATTTGATACTGGTAACAAAGGATACAGAAACAGCAATTAAAACCCACACTTTTAACAATCTGCATCCTAGCTGAAGATATACATAAATATATACATTTTACTTAATCTTTATTTTTTAAATATACATTTTTATAGATAAGAGACAGTTAAAAGTATATGCCAATTTTTGTCTCTATGGTACCATATGCTATGCTGGTAAATCTTGGGTTTACAAAGAATTCACTATACTTTAGTGTGAAGTTACCCAGCGGTACTAGCTGAAGTTCCATCTGAGATATAATTCTGTCCCCAGACACTTAAGTTCTCTGGGCTGCCTTAGGCACTGTATGGTGAAAGAAACTATTAGTTCTTACATTTCTGAGTACAGCACATTGCATTTGGGCCTAGCAGCTTCATAGAATTAATGAGTCAAAGTAATTTTCCATGTTGTTAAGCACACACAGCACCACCACTGAAATCATTCCACAGTGTTTACTCTTCATAAATCTAGGAAAGAAATTACAGTCTGGTGTTTAGCTTGTTTTTTTGGTTTTGTTTTTAACTAAAAACCCTCACTGCACCACACTGTGGAGATAAAAATATCCTGTCAGGAGTTAACTCAAAGGCATACACTGCCCAAGTACCATTTAGTCCTGCAGGACACCTTCTGAGCATTGCAGACCTGGCTTTCTCTAATACCACATGTGGAATGCCTTTTCTCAGGCCTACACAGATGACTCCTTTAAATCAACAGCCAAACGTTTCAATTAAAAAATGACAGAGAAAATTATTTAGCAATTATTTCCTTAGCTGCAGAAGTTGAGAATACTTATGACCTGTCCGCACTGTTTCTAGCTAATAGTACACGTACCATGAAGTAGTAATAATACTGAAAGGCTGAAAGAGTAAAAAACCTGAGAACTGGCACAATCTTTTCTACGTGTAGGGTACACTTAAATCAGAATTTTTACCAGAGTACACACTATAAATTGAAAATCTCAAAGATATTATGCTTCTCAGTTCTAGAAATAAGCTCTGCTAATAATTCAACTTTTAAATTAACTTCATGTCCTATAAACAATAAAACTATACTCAATGTACTAGCACAGTTATTTTAACTTAAAGTTTGAGGGTTTCTGGTTGGAGGTTGCTTTTTTATTTTATTTATTTATTATTTTTTATTGGAGGAATGACAAGGCAGGAAGAAGAATCCCAAGACTATTACTCTTCCACAAACACTCCAGAAAGAGGACTGAGCAAAGGGTAGAACCCATGCCCCCTCCTGACTGAAGAAAATGCACTGACAACTGTAATACCATGCATCTACATGAAGAGCAGAACACACACAAGAAGAATCTTACATATTTACCAGAAAATAGAATTTCAAGTTATGAAAGAAACAGCAACAGAAGCAGAATAACAAGTTTAGAGTACCATAGGAGTCTAGTATTTACTTTTGGAAACAACTTTGTATTGTTTTTCCCAGCAGTGCAACTAAAGTGAAGACTCTAAGCAAGACCACAATACAGTCACTTAGCAACAATAAGACAGCAAAGTAAAATAAGAATCACCCTATATGCAATTTAACAGCCTCCTAAAGTCACACCATCTATTCTTATTTTTTTATGAATGCTTTTGAACAAAAATAAATATTTTTTAATCTCAAAATGCAATGCAGAAATATGTGAACTTTACCTTTTCAAGTAACTGTAGGGGAAAAAACCAAACAACAACAAAAGCAAACACTGTAAAACCAAGGATATTAACTGACTATAATAGTCAGTTCAATTTAATGTTACTGTAAGCCTTTTTATTTAAAGAAGCAATTCAGTAAATCTGGGAAAATATTAAGTGCCAGAAGGCATCTCCGATGCCAGCAGCTTCATGGTGTTAAATAGCCTACTAACACAACAGGCTTGTAATTTATGCTGTGCTCATTTTGCCAAGTACTGCATTGAACATAGATATTTTGTACTTTGATACAAGGGACGTTTTGTCCAAAGCAAACAGCCTTGACTGTATGTTGTAATACTGGTAAATTGTGATCTCAGTGTTATATTAGTAAAACTGTTTTCATACAATATTAATATTCTGTACCTTTCAGTGGTTCCACCCCATCTGAGAACACAAAGCTCTGAATCAGATGGAAACACTGTGTTGTACTATCTTACATCATTACAGCTTCTGACAGCTTGTTCTGTCCAAGTTCAAATAACTATATCTATTACCATTGTGAATCAGCATTACATTCTCAAATCCACACTTTAAATTGAAACACTCAGCTTTAGTTTTCCTGACTACACAGTTATGAGCTTTGCAATTATCTTCCACTATTAAGTGATAATCATTTCAAAAGGTTTCTCAGATTTTATTCAAGAAATCAGAATTTTGTGCTCTAATTTGGAATTGTTAGGATTGAAAAATTCACTCTTTTTATTGAAGATATTAATTTGCATTTTATTTATAGCTTCCAGAAGTATTCTGCTCAATTCACTGCAATGTCAGCTAACCACTGGATTGTCAGGATATGACTTAAGCTACTGTATTTTAGTAGTAATATCCCCTGAACCATATGAAAATTTTATTTCTTGATTGTTTACATAAATATTGAAACTCTCTAATCAATACATTCAGTGTGTTGGTATTGCTGCAATACATTAGGTTTGTAAAACACCATGACAGACAAAATGTACAGGAAGTGAACAAAAAAGAAAATCCCTTTGTTTTATTACCTGTTTCAATTTCCCAAATATAAACTGAATCGTCTTCACATCCAACAATTAGCAGATTTTCAACAGGATTAAATTTTATCTTCTTCACAGGGAAGAGATGTTTTCTGGCATGTAAGAGACACACTCTTTTCTGGAGGTGTAGAATCGCTACTGAGTGATCACTGCATACACAGCACACTATGCTGTGATCTTTTAACTGCAAAACAGAAAGAACTTCTGTTTCAACACAATGACCACTGTCATAACCACATTATTTTAACATGCCTGGGAAAAGTTGCCCAGTGATTTCTTTCCCATATAGAGATACTTCTGGGGTGTTTTTGAGACATCATTCATTATGGTTGTACTTACTCTGTAGTTTTCTGGAGATCGCAAGAGTTCTGTCACTGGACCAGAGTGAAGACTAAATTGGTGTAAAATGTCTCCAGTAAATAAATTCCAGCAGATGACAACAGAATCCTGCCCACCAGATAACAGCCAGCTTGGATCAAATCTTACTGACTTATCATGTGGATAAAGTAAAGAAGTGACTCTGCTACTATGACCATTCAGAACCTTATAAGGTAAATTATCTGAAAGAAGATGGTACATAAGTTATTTTTTCTTCAAGAATAGAGGTTCCATATTTTACAGTACATGTGCTAAAAGTCAGGAGACTCAAAAGATTAAATGCAATCCTTTATGTAGGATCAAAGAATTTTGGAAAAAGGTCTAGGATCTGAACTTCATCTACTCAGATGCAGTCATTTTATTCCTTCAGGGGAATGACCTTCTAGAAAGTGACACAGATGACTACTGCTCATACCGTGACAGCCCACATCTCTCTTTCAGGTGACCCCATCCGTACAGCCATTCCAGGACTCTTGACAGTGCAAAGCACCTTGATAGTACTGAGCTGTAATCTGATAGATCAGCCACAGAGGGAGAAAGAAAATCATCACCTTCCATTTTCCTCATTCAGTCCCTGACCATCACTGCTTATGTATGCAGTCTTCTGTGCTTCACTGAGATGAATGTAGGCAACACTGTTACTACCTACCTTTCAGCAAAGTTATGTTTTCTAGAAGTCTTGCTCTTGCAGTTTTTAAACCTAGCGTTACAAAAATTTTCCCATTTTCACATCCACACACAAGCTTATCAAGACTGGGTATGTATACAGAAGAACTAACAGCTGCACTTTCAATTCCATCTTTCGATGTACAAAGATGATCAATAATTCCCTCTGACATTGCATGGTGTTTATCAAAATCATCCTGAAGAGCCCATTTTGCTGTAATTGGGATCTCTAGAAGGTGAGGAAAAGAGTTAGGAATTTTTATTTTTTTTTTAAACTCAAAGCAAAATAAAAATACAAACAGAACAAAACACACATCTTCATCTAATCATAACTTCCCCCTCAACTCGCTACTTCCTAGCAATTGAAAGGCAGCAGTTGCTATTCCAACACTAGATAACATCTCACTCAGTCCTTCCTTTTATACCTCCCTGGCAGCCACCATAAATAGGACCAATGTCAGGACATTTGCAATTATGAGAAGATAGTAAGGAAATAGGAACATTTATTTGTTATCCCCAAGAAGAAATTCTAGACACTCATCTTTGTTAGTGTCTTGCTCCTTATAACTACAGGCAATCATCACACAGTGACTGAATGAACATCACTTTCTAATGTGAAAATATTTTTATAAGAATTTAAGTTTTCATTAAAAGTGACTTAAAGACATCATTAAAGAGACCGTATCAAGAGCACAGAATCACCAAACCTTTAGGTGAACCATCAAATGTTGACACAGGGACATCAGGAATATGCCACAAGGTGATCCTTCCTGAAGCTTCACCCGAAAATAGAACCTTATAGAAAGGCTCCTTCCTTTCATTCATGAAGCCCATAACAAAAGGAAAATTCTGCCAAAAATAATAGTAAATTAATATGCTGATACAAAAAGGTTGACGAAATAATGTAGTAATTGCAAATTCAAAGGTTTTCTACAGCAAAAGCTCTAGAAATAAAAAAATAATAATATTTAAACTGTCACTAAGTTCATAGAATCATAGAATCATAGAATCTTAGGGGCTGGAAGGGACCTCGAGAGATCATCTAGTCCAATCCCCCTGCCAGAGCAGGGTCACCTAGAGTACATCACACAGGAACTCATCCAGGTGGGTTTTGAATGTTTCCAGTGAGGGAGACTCCACAACCTCCCTGGGCAGTCTGTTCCAGTGCTCTGTCACTCTTACAGTAAAAAAATTTTTTCGGATATTCACCTTGAACCTCCTGTGCTCCAATTTACACCCATTACCCCTTGTCTTATCACTGGTCATCACCGAGAAAAGCCTAACTCCGTCCCCCTGACACTCACCCCTTACATATTTGTAAACATTGATGAGGTCACCCCTCAGTCTCCTTTTCTCCAAGCTAAAGAGACCCAGCTCCCTCAGCCTTTCCTCATAAGGGAGATGTTCCACTCCCTTAATCATCTTCGTAGCTCTGCGCTGGACTCTTTCAAGCAGTTCCCTGTCCTTCTTGAACTTGTCATCTCAGACAAGGTCTGCTCTGCCTGGCACAAGGCCCTCAGAGATCACCTCCGCTTTGCCAGTCTCCTTGGCCAAGTCTACTTCCCAAATAAAAAGTGGAATGGGAGGGCTCCCTAGGCTTACTGTCTCTAAATGAAGTCTATCAATAGCATCACCAGCACATAAAAAAAATGGCAGCCTAAGCACCAAGATCAGGCTGGAAAAAAAAAGCGTGCAGTGAAAGACTGAATCTTCACATAAAAACAAATTCAGTAAAACTTCAATTATGAACAGTTGAAATTACTACAAATAAAGGTAAGAATTATGCTTTTACATAGACAGGTAATGGTCTGTAACACCAGCATTCAGTGACCTGGAAAATATTAGATAATTGAGAGGTATAATAAACAGACTTAATGACATCTACCTGGCTTTGTTTAGTAATGCACAAATTTATTCCAGTATATTTATCGCAGACAACCCTCATCTTTTTATTCTCTCATGAAGACTTAAAGTCTGTAGGTTTTTTTTCCCTGTAGGTATAATGCTACAGGTAGTTCTATATCACTACTTCAGTAACACCCAAACTGTGAGATAAGCTACTGATGACTTGCCAAGAACATCCTGTTTTTTTGTTATGTAAGTTTCATTCTCATGTACCAAAGTAAAAAAAAATATCATCAAGTTTTCTAAGGGGAAGCTTCTATTTGCTCAAAGTCCTCACAAATGTTAAGAAAATTAGGAAAGTTCAGGTTACACCAGGCATGTACTTCAGAAGTAGATGCTTATGTTTGTGTTGTGTCTTGGAGCACCGAATAAAGATTTTTTTCATGAAAGTAAGTGGGCAGACACGTGCAGGAGCACAACAAAGCCCCCTACACTGAAAAAAACAAAAGCACACCCCATACTGTAGATTGTGTATGAAAGGTCATCAGCACAAACTGTTTTGTTCCACCCCATCAACTTTACTTTCATCTTGCAGACACAGACTCTTTGTTTGCTTCTTCAAGACATGTTAATAACATCCCCTCATGCTGTTTAGGTTTTATTTACAACATTGAACTTTGGGAGTAAATTGCACAATAAGCAACTGTACTGTCACATGGTTCAGTTTATAATTTATGAATGCAGACCAAAACAGATCATCACATAGGCAGTTTTGCTGTCTCTCAAATCTGCTATAAAATTTTCAGGTAATAAGGTAAATATTAGAAAAGGGCAGGGTACGTTATTTTTAATATATATATTTGGGGGGGGAATCCTATATGAGTTTACTATCACCACTGCAACCCTGTTATTTGCTAAACCCTGTGTTTTGGCCATTTCTTTTCTCTCATATCAGGAGAACTGCTGAAGGATGCCAAAAGGTCTATCTGGTTTTAGATCACAGCATTTGGGGGAAAAGCTGCATGGTTTGTGCTATTATGCTTCAACTGAAAATCTAATCTGTCAGGCCTTGCAAGGATATGCAAAAAAGATTCCTTCTAAGAGCCTACAGTTGCCAACAAAGAGAATTATAAAGCCTCATGTAGGTATATGTTTGACAGTATTTCTAGTCAACTACAAATAAAATACCTGTCTCCTCTGCATATCTTCAGGAACTGTTTAAAGCCCTTCAATTCTCTTGCAAATACACAAAAAATCGAATGCAACTGCAAGCAGGAATTAAATCCACCTTTTTCAATAATCACAATTTCATTAATAGTATTAGCAGGGAGAAAAAATTAGCAACAAAACCAGAACTAAAGCTACACTGATTTCTTTTAATTTTTTGTTCTATCTTTGCCAAATAAGAACATTTGACACAGATTTAATTTTCATTTTTTTTCCCCACTTGCCTATTCTCATCTGTTCTCTATTCTTTACATCAACTGTTTTTCCTTATTTATTTCTTTGTGGTCAAAGCACTTCTCAAAAAGTAAGTTCAGATTTTCCAAAACAGCTGATCCACTTGAGATACTTGCCTAAGCAGTAACTTCTAAATTTGAAATTGGTAGGACATAGTCTAAGCATAGGTTCTCAATCATAAGTATAAAGATCACCTACTTTTTTTAACTTCCTCTTTTTTTAACCATAGATGCTTCTTCAAGCAGAGACCAGAATTCTGAAGAGTCACACATGCCTAATCTCATGCACTGTGGTACTGTCACTCTGCCCACAGTGTAAGGAAGGTAGACATGTGATTATGCCTCTGAAAGCTCAAAATAACAGTATTTTGGATGAAATGTCACAGATTCAAACTCATCCAACTTAAAATGGATACATATGGGAAGCAACCAATTTATTTCTGCAGTCACACTGAAATATGCATACATGTTGCAATATAAGAAGAACTCAGCAACTTCCTTGCATTTTACTTTTGAGTTGACTTTTTGTTTGGTTCTTTGGGTTTGGTGTTTGTTGTTTTTTTTAACAGATTTAAAAGTAAAAGGTTCTAAAACTATTTTAGAACACCTTTAACTTAAAAAGGCTCTCCTTTTTTGACAATATTAGGAAAACACCTTAAATTAGACTAACTATAGCTGAAAATACAGGATATTTTCTCCTGTGAAAAAAAGTAAATATTACCAGAATTTAAGACAAATATATGCAATGAGTATCTTCAAGCTTCTAAGAAGAAATTTTAAAATGAAGGAATAAGTCTTACTTATTGTTTTCATAAAACAATTACATTTGTTAATGAATTCAACAGGTTTTTAGAGACCATTCAGGTAATTGCAAACAAATAAAAAATGAACATTTAAAGCTCACTGTAAATTTTTGAGTTTACCTTATGTTCCTTCACATCAGTAAAGCAGAGTAAATGAGGATAAACAGTTTCTTTCAGCATCTTCCCATCAGCAGGATACACACTTTTAGAAAGCCCACTGCATAATTTGAGAAAAAAAAAACACATTATTAAAAGCTTTAGACAGTCATATTTTTTGGAAAGCAGAACAGTAACATCCAAGATTTACAAGTTCAATTAAAAGTTGCTGAATAAGTAATTACAAGTGACTTTCTGAAATCACAGCACCAGCTGCCAAAGTTCTACATGGCTAATCTTATTCCTGGGTCCCCTGCTGTGTCAAACAAAGACTGAAGGCTGTCAAACTCGGGGTAAATCTTTGAGTGCCAAAGTGGTTTTGTTCTGGTTTTTGATCATTTGCAACATGCAGAGATTTTCCATAATAAACCTCCCAAAGTTCATCCTGTACCTGAACTTTTTGTGTGGATTTCCCATCTGAGCCCACCTGTTAAGCAGCTGGTAGATGTAACTGTGACCATCTTCTGTCCAGATGATAAGTCTGTAAGCTGCTAGTACTTCCCCACCAGCAAAGCACTGACCACTTTTACAGAACTCCATACAAAGCAAAGAGAAATCACAATAATCATAGACCTAAGATCAGAAAAACAAAAACAAACTGTATTGTTGCATTAATTTTAATTCAAGCTTGCTTTGTGCCATGGATCAATAAGCAGAACATGAGCGTGACTCTTTGTAGTTTGACTACCTCTTTGAAAGCCAAAGCAGTATTCATACTATCAAACTAGTGCAATCAAACTACCTATTTCAAAGAAACCAACAATTAAAAAAAACAGTATTAGAGCCTTCTGTTATATTAGGGGATTCTAGATGGGATTTACTTTGTTTTGCCTTGCATTCATTATTAATATTTATTGGACTATTAATTTCTTATAAAGAGGTAGGTAGTGAATTCAGCACAGAAATACAACACTGAAGACTTCAACAGAAGCTAAACACCCTTCTGTCTGCATTCTTTCAAAGATTATTTGCTTGTGTAATCACAGCATGTATCTTAACAGTTTTGATTCTTTGGGGAGTAATAGAGATTTCTCCTTTGCAAATCAATTGAAAAAAGGAACATATGATCCCCTTTGCCTGCAAAAATTCTTCTCTCATTTCTAGAGCTGGTAAAAAATGGTATGACTTGTTGCTTCCTCTGATCTTCAGCAATGTGAGCAAATATATTTCAGAATGAGAATTTCTACAAATTATTCATTGTTAATATCTATTCATTAGGGATTTGCTTTATATTTTCATTGCTATCAAGTGGGTTAGGGAGCCACACATGGCCTCTGAACGTATGTGAATCTCTCCCATGCTAGACATCACATACATTTCTAATTAAGGATTTAATTAATCAATTTATTTTTAATTTATATATTAATTGAAATAAAGCTTGAAAATCCAACGACTTACATATTTGTAAGACTACTTTAAGCAGTAAAATATAAGCATTCAAATGCATAATGAAGATATTACTGCAAACTTCCATCTTTTGTGGGCAAACATTGTGAAAGTAATAGAAAACAATGCACACGGCATTTTTTTAAATAGCCCAAGAGCAATCTCAAGGATACCCTACAACTGTATTTTTCAAAGTTGACTGGGCTGTATGCGAAATATCTACTTCCCACCCCCTAAGAGGAGTGGTGTTTGGATCAGGTACATATGTTGCACTAATAGCCTAAGATTAATTTAAAAGGAATGTCATAGCAGTGGGAAAAAACTAGAGAATTTTTACAATAAAGTTCAGCTTAACTAAGATGTAAATAAACTAATAACAGTTTCAGTATCTACAAGATGCATTCATTTTCTTACAGCTATATATTCTGGGGCCTTTAGCTTTGCAGGCTTCTCTTAGTGGAACTCAGGCTATTGGTCCTGATAGAACAAAGGCTCCTGGCTGCTGAGGGCTTGCCAACTGTGATTCCTTCTGTCATACTTAAACAGGTTTTGCACATCTTTGTGTTCATTCTGAAATGCACTTTAGAGGAGACTATAATGCACTAGTGCTCTAAAATTGACTAAGTAATCCCCTTTCTACTTTTAAAATAAAAATACTAATAAAAAATAACCCCAGACAGGCAATTAAGATACACAGATAAGGGATATAGCCCCTATTCTACCTAACAATTAGTAAACACTTTCTTTAAGCCAAGGAGAAAAACAAGCATCTTCACATAAAAATCACATTGTATCTTCAAAATTAACAAAATTAAAAAGAAAGTATAATGCTCAATAATATACCTGCCAGCATGTGGAAGACACAACTAGAAGGAGCCTTTCTGTGTAAGTACAAAACCGTACTGCTTGACAGTTTACACAGTCCAGAGATTTGGATTCTCTCTCGTACACACTTTCTCTCTCCTTTATAGCAGAGGAAAAAAGTCATAAGATTCATTCTATATTTCTGAGCTTTTACTTTTAGGATAAAAACAAGCCTCTGAAAATTATTGTTAGCATACACTTTTCAAAATGCAAAGCAACGTATAATTCTTAATTAAGACTGAGACAGGAAGACAGCAGGGTTCACAAGTACCATGTAAACAGAAGACATTCAGCATGGCTCAGACTTTGATCTCAATTGAAGAAGTGATAATGAATATGGAGAAGGACTAAAGGCAGGTCATAGATAGCATCTGCTGTAATGAATATCTGCTAAGCATTCTTCAGTCAAAAACATAGCTACAACAACCTATAAACTGACAGTATCAAATTCAGAATGGCTAATGAAGATTAACACAGACAAGTGAAAAGAACAAGCAAGTTTGACGATGGAGAAATATGGTGTTTGACAGAACAAGAGTCTTTTCTAAGTACCATTTCAAAGTAAAAAGGAGTAAAAAGGATTATTTTTAGGCACCTTGATTTTAAAGGAAGGAATGGAGTTCAATGAATGGAGTAAAAATAACCAGGACAGAAGGAAAGCATTACAGCTTCAGCATCACGTAATATGAAAAGACATGAAGCCTGGGCGAAAGACATTGCAGTTTTCAAGGCAAGAGCCGTCCAGTGGCCCAACTAATTTTAAATAGCTATATGAGGGTGTGTTTTCAGAATTTTGTGACAAAATAAATCAATTCTGTTTAGTATATATCAAGAAAATAGATTTATTCATGTTCCTCTTCATTGTATCCTTTACTTGATAATATTACTACATTCATGTTATTGTTCAAACTGCTGTTCCACACCTCAAACTAACCTGTATGTTATTCAAAGATGAAGATAAGTCCCACACTTTCAGAACTCCAGTTACAGACACTGCAACCAATGAGTCTTCTGTGAAAAGTTAACAATGAGATGGTAAAATTGAAACCAAGTTCAAACAGTGCCTAACACCAAAAGAGAACCTTGGCATAGACACTGGTGTTCCATACAGCACTACAACAAGGGTTCTGTAAGAAATATTAATTTTGCACAAAAAAAACCCCGATATATGTAAATAAAAAATAGGCAAGCAAAAACTTATTTTATCCAATCAGATATATTCCAATAGAAGGCATAGTGGGTCTATTCATTTCCCTGATACTACAAAATAATTTGTACTTATATCCAAGAATAGTTTACAACTAGTGTAGAGCCTGCTTGTTTTTTTCTAATAAATTTACTAAATTAACCATGACCAATATTTGGAGTATTAAAAACTTCTTCTTAAGTTTTAATTTTCCATTGACAACATCTTGTATATAAGGGCTGTGTAAACCAAACAGATTATGTCTAGTAGGATGGTACTATCAATACAGAAATATTTTATAACAATTTAATTTGCCTACATAAACACACCTACAATGTGTTACCTTGAATTCTTGCAGAGTGTACAATACACATACAATTTATCCAATCAGATTGGGATGATGATAAAGTGTGAAGAACACCTAAAGTCTTTGCATCAATAATAAGAACATCTTGATATTCTCCACAGCAAAGCAGCCATCCTTCACCTGTCATTCGGAAGGAGCAATGGTAATACTGTACAAACAGAAGAAGGAAATCAGCATAAAGAGCTACACAATCATACATGTGTATTTTCCCCATTAATCATGCCATACTTGGAACTGTAATGTACACTTGTAGCATTACTAAAAAAACCTAATGTACATGTGAGATCATACACAGCTTTGCTAGTGACACAAGCATTTCACCTGCATTTAAAACCATTTCATATAGGCATACAGACTAGTCAAGGAGTGCCTAGCACTGAAAACAGGATCTTCCCTGACTAAATACTGGACATTTTTTTAAGCAATCAAGGTGTTAATTTTCATTATAATTTACTAAACAGTCTGTGACTTGTTTCTCTGAGGCCTAATCTCTCTCCAAACATTTGATCAACTTCAGCTTTCAAGAGGAACATAAAAATGAAAAAAAAAATAAATCAGATGGAGATGCAGACGATTCATAGTGAAATTATCCATTATTTTCCAGGAATAATTTCTACTTCATGAGATATTCCTCATTATGACACTAAATGCTCTAATGTTCAGAAGATTCATTCTTTCTCAATAATCACTTAAAGAAAATAAAAAGACACATAGCAAAGTATTAAGGAGCAGAGATGACAGAGGTGTAGAGTGACTATGAAGATTCTTTTTTTGCTAGGTGTTTTATATGTGCAAGGACATCTGTATTTCTTGTACTATCTATCCATAATCATACACACGATTCCTATAAATGCATAAGCAGCTCCCTCAAATGAAATTTACAAGTAAATACTATACTTAAAGGTAACCATCACACAGATGAAAATAACTGACAGATCCATAAAATTGTGCCTTATTTACTACAGGCTCTCTGCACATTCAGTTTTGCATAGACAATAATTTTTGGTCTATCAGTTAAGTGCCTGAAGGCTGTATACAAAAGAAGCATAAAAAAACTGCAAATAGAGTAAGTATTAATACAGATAATATGAAATATCAGAGGTAGAAATGCTCAGCAATAGGAACCACTTGTAATTACTGTTACTCTTAAATTAAGCGTGAACTGGAAGATTGGTATAGTCAGTCCTCTGAGAAAATCCCACACTTGTTAAGATCCACAAATGGTTAAGAGTTGACCCTGGTGTTAAACTTAATTTCAAATGGCAAATATTCAGTTTGCACTGCTTGACAGCTGCCATTTATAGCTGAATCATCTATACTGAACAAAAGGAATCTATTGGACCAGATAGGTCAGTAGCTTAATGAAAAACCTACTAAAACATTTCCTAAAAATAAAGCAACAATTTTTAAATGGTGATGCTATCAAAAACAGTGTGCAGTAAACCTCCCAGACAATAACATTCTGTAGGAAATTACTGTCAAACACTATTACACCATAAGCAATCATTCCCAATGGAACAACAACAAAACCTACAACAAAACAAAACCACAACAAAAGCCCCCAAAATAACCTCAAAAATTTTAATCAATTTTTTATAAATATCTGAAGATTGCATTTTAAGAATAACTTCCCCTCCTAGCAACATCTACTCTTTGTCCTAATTTTTCCTGTTACATGTTCCTGTTTCCCTTTTAGTCATCTTGCCCAAGTTACAGGACAAAAATCTTTACCTAGAGAAAATTAGACTTAGCTCACTTCTCCTAATAGAGAAGGAACAAGTTTCTAAAATTATTGGCTGCTTCTACTTGAAGGCTAAGAATGAAGATTCCACCTCTGATCTCCAGAAGACAGATCTGCCTATTTGTCTGCATAACTCCTCTGATCTAAATCTAATTGAGCAACAGCACAAAGGAGATCATATTGCACCTCTATTATATTTTAAACAAGGCATTGTAGTGTGTATATACATACATATGTAAAAATATATATGCTTTAAGCATACACAAACAAAAATGACAGAAGAATAACTTCTTAACATTCTATGCTTTTTGTGTATATGCACATACACATGTATGTACAAACATAATATTGAGAAGTTACTCTTCCATCATTTTCATTTGGCAATTTATCCAAACTTTCTCTCTTCCCTTCATGATTAGCAACTGTGTGCTAATTCATCACCTCAACCAAAACAGTGTCATGAAAATACAATGTTTCTTCTGGAAGCTTTCAAACATTTTTATTCTAAATTCCTCAACCATATACATACATGTATTTCAAACACACCCTCACACTCCAAAATCTAGATACTTAGTGCACCTGGATAGATGTCTGAACAGACACTTGAAATTATATGAAGTAATATATAAAACCATTTGGCCTTTGAAAATAACTGATGTGTCCCAAGTTCTGTGATGAATGAAAATATATTTTTGGGAGTGGGGCAGAAGTTGTTTGAAGGTCAGCAGTTGGGCACCTAAACCTTTCAAACATTTAAAATGCATCTTTCAGCAGACTGCTTCACAATGTTTGGCTAGATCACTTGTACTTCTAAAATGTGTCATTAAAAAAGCCAACATTAAACTTGAAGTTTCCACACAATGTTAACAGAATAAAGACTGATACAGCTACACAGGGCCCAGACTTTACAATAACTGCATTGATACTGCATTCCAGACATTTGCAGTTTAAAAATACAATCGGCTTCATTCCATTAAGTTCAGAGGAACATAAATCTCTCATCAGGACTTTTCTTAAAAGTCAAAAAAAAAAAAAAAAAAAAAAAAAAAAAAAAAAAAAAAAAAAAAAAAAAAAAAAAAAGAAATAAAACTTATGTTGCAACAGTTTGGGTTTTCTATTAGATATGTTGTGAGCTAGACATCTAAAATTGTATGTTTCTGAAGAATAACATCTTAATACAGCAAATCTCCTCTCTAATGAACAAACATATGCCATGAAAAGTTGCTATACTTACATAGATTGCTGTATGCCTATAGGGAAGCCTTGCGTTCTCAATGCACTGTCCACTAGTGACATTCCAAACACACATCTCCCTGCCAAAGATAACTTTATATTATTCTCTGTCATTGCCACTCAATTGGCTGGAATAATTTTGTGCCACCAAGTTTTTCTTTAGTGCTGTACTTAAATGCAGTCTGGCCGTTTACGTGGCCTTTTGTTACAGATTACTGGGTAAGAAAGTGTTGTGGTCATTAGCAGGGGATGACATACACTATCTGTTTCTTTTTGTTTTGGTAATTACACCCTGCTGCCTTGCAGCAAACCTGACTTTCAGGCCAACTCTGATCTACAACAAATTGTGGGTATACTGCCATTACAGCTCGTCAACACATCACTGTAACTATCTGTCGTTGGAACTACATCCTCCTGAAAATGATTCATTTCACTGAACTTAAACCACACGTTTTGAAAAACATAATACATCTTCTGCCATACCAGACTTCAACTCTTGAGAGGAACGGCAACTTCTGTCAAGAAGAAACAGTGCCACCGTGAGGCTATTCCTGAAATGTGTTTGATTCAGCACTTGCTTCTTAACGTAAATATCTATGCAACACCGTAGATACGCTTTATTCCAAACAACGTTAATGTTTGAGAAAGACCTGTTAGCTACTTCTCCAAATCTAGAAATTATTCAACGTGCTATGGGACTAGACCACACATGAAACACAATCAATTTAGATGTTGGAAATGAGGTTGTGTGAGGGATGTCATAGCTCTGCAACCAAATGTTACGTTTTGATGCTTTTACATTTTCTTTGAAGAGCAAGCATTATTTCTACAGTTGAAAAAGTCATTATTTCTGAAATCACATTCTAAGACCTTTTCTGTAAGAGACAAAGAACACACTGCAAAAATTATTTTCATATTTCAGAAATACGACTTAGTGGTTCCCATTTTAATCTACACAATTTCACATTTTATGATAATCTAAAAATATTATTTATAGTTTTCAGCTAAACAAGAGCAATGAAATCTATACATCTGATGTTCAGTTTTGCTTTTAAACATTTCAAGGCAGTCAATTTCCCCTTCTTTGTATCAGAATGACAATTATAGGAATATAGCTAAAGCAGTTGAGTTGATACAAACATGCAAACATGCACAAATGATACCAGAATATAACTTCAGCTTTTGCATGCTGCACTTAAATTACTGTATTTACTAACAAGGAGCAAGTGATACTGCATGTTGATAAACCTGTCCTACACCATCTGCTATATGCACGCACAGGACATCAATGAAAAGTTCTGAATAATTATTATTAATACATAGATTTCCATATAAAAAGTTCATAAATACTGTTCAATATTCATCCTTCTGGGATAAGTCAGTTATACAAACACTTAAGAGATTCTGAATAGGGATAGGGGAAGAGTATCATCTTCCACACAATTTCCTCCACCTTCAACGCAAGGAGATGAAAGCTTGAAAATGGCAGAAGTGAATGATTCACAAGCAAGAAAATGCAGTTCAACAAACCCTGCACCTGCTAAAGATGAAGCTTCCTATTTGTAATTATCTCATCTCTATGTTGCAGCCTTCCAGGGATAAGTGATGGATGTTTTGCCCTTTTGTAACACAGATGAGAAGTCAGCAGTAATTTGGTAAAAGGGAACATTTAAGGGGCCCAACAACCATTCAGTCCTACCCATACATTCCAAGCATGCTCTATAATCCCTTCAGGGGCAGAACCTCTAGGATATGAACATCTCTCTGTATGGCATTTCTATACCAAAAAAATCATTTGTTTCTTAATGCTTTTCATCCCAACTTTTTGGAAACACAGTATCATTTACCCCAGTATGATCTGGAAACAGTACTGTACTGACAGAACTTCATAAATAAGATAAAAAATAGTTTCACCTATGAAACCTTGAGCAGAATTGTAGGAAACTATGCAAAACTAGTTCTGCAGACTTCTCACCCTCCTTTCTTCACAGAACAGATGGAACTGTTTACCTCTACCTGTCCTGTGGGGCAGTCTAACCTTTGAAGATTAAGAAGCCTGAACCAGTTGGTTCAAGGTATCCTCTTCTATATTCATGATAGAGTGAGAGAATCAGAGATCCTAGCAGCTCAAAAAAAATAAACAACCTCCTCAGTGACGAAGTAGTGTAGTAGCTTTTAGGTACTGGAAGGTGTAGCCTGAAAAAGGACACTCTTAATTCAAGGAGGTTTTAACAGAGCTGCCCTGTTACTTGGAAGAGATTAACCCAAAATGAGAGAAGAATACAATTAAACAACAAATCAAAATTGTTTTAAAAAAGTCCCTCAGGAGGTAAAAAGCTAGTCCTAACTACTTTCAACTGCTGAAGCTCTGACCAGATGTGCTTCAGATCCCAGCTGAAAAGATAATTAAACAGTCGAAGAGAAAAAAAATTATTGAATGCAGACCTAGGAGTACTGCAGAAATTAGTTTGACACAAGTGATGGACCAAGTCCCAACAAACACATAGGAGAAAAGCTGCAAGATCAGGAGCCTCAAAAAAAGATGTTCTACAAAATAATAAGTCAGATTTAAACAAGGACACAGAAAACAGATGTCTTTTTTTCAAGGGAAGTCTTTTCTGTGCTTCCATATGTTTTCACCGAGCAAGCATAACCTGGATCAGAGCACATTAGCCTTTTGTACCAACTCAATTCTGAAGACTGAGTTCAGGAAGGGACAGAAAAAAAAGCACCATGATATCAAAGCACTTCTGAATCTGCCAGTTCCCTCCAATAGCACATTACTCTCCCTTTGAATGAGGCTTAGCTATCCCTCTGAAGATTTTGTTCTCCTAAGTAACTGGATCTTCAAATTTGTCAAGCCCTTCTTGTTGTCCAAGAGATGAGCTCTTAGACTATTGTATATAAGCAATAGTCATTGTCCTAAATAACTGCTATCTTTTTCATATAATGGAACAATAGGATTAAAATCCTTCTGCCAAATGCAGAATCTGACCTACATCTGCTTTATATTTCACAATTTCAGAAATGAATAATGGAATATTCAGTTACCTACCCATTTTCAGTAGCACTTACTACATATGGCTGTTTCTCAAACTCTCTTGCTTTTGCCAGACAAGTTACAGAAGCAGTATGACCAAGGAGAATTTCTTTAGATGAAATCTAGGAGAATAATACAATTATTTAACTTTAACATAAGATTTTTTTATATAAGCTAAGGAGGTCTAAGAGCTAGAGAATACAACTTGTAGATGTTTTCATTAAAGAGTAACTGTCAATCTGTTTTATATTCTTATGTTCTTTAGTCATGCTTCTGGAATGTACAAAGATGTGGATGGATTTTGCAGTTTGCATCAAGTAGTCTTTGTATCCATTGGAGTCTAAAAATTGCTTTGTCTGAAGAATTTATGGAGTGTCAAGTGTTACAAAACAGGCAATGTGCAGAGTATCTCTGGCCTTCACCCTAGATATGCAGCAAAAGCGTAAAGTGGGGAACTGATGTAGCAAAGCTCTTAAGTATGTGTTTCATACAACGTGTGGAAGTAACTCCCTTGATTAGCTTCACTGCATGCAAAGATAGAAATAGAAAAAAAATAGCCCCATAAAAGTGCAAACTAAAGCTGTGCTATATTTGAGCACAAATGGGGCAGCCAAATCCAAAGAGAACAGAACCATAGTTTAGGAATGCATAACAAAAACTGGAACTGCTTTAACTCTTTTCCATTTTCAAGAAAATAAACATGTCAAAGCAATAGCAACGACATGCCAGGAGGTTTGCAACTTAGTTATATCAAATATATATTTCATCTTACTTCTTCCATCTTTCTACAAATGTTTGGATTGTTAACCTGTTAGATATCTCTGGTTTTATACATAGGTATTTTTTTCCTTAGACGGGTCACACTACTCAATTTAAAACAGAAACAAAAAAACCAAACAAAAGGAAAAAAACACAACACTATAAAAGACAGGATTTGTGATATTTGTATATGTTTAGTTGCTGCCATTACTCACAGAACACAATCTCAAATGATAATCCATAGGTCCTAATAATCTATTAAAAGTTTTCCACTCTGCAAATACCTGATTGCTCATACAGGCATTTCAACACTTTTTGCTGCATGTGTTTCCCATAACAAAAATCACACTATTTTTAAAACTTAACCTAAGGAAGTGCAAATCTGAATAATCTCATTGTTAATAATAAAATATAAAACTCCAGTATATTTGGCAGACTGTAGCAGAGTGGACACAAACCTTTAATTCTGATGAAAGATCCCAGAGACATATGTGTCCTTCTTGACTTCCTGTAACTATAGTCTGCTGGTCATCTGTAATCATAATAGCAGTGATGCTGTGAGACGGAGCTATCTTCCCCCATACTGCCACAGCCTGTACTGATGCCTTCATAGTCAGCACCTGAAAATAGAAAAAGTTATCATAATTTTAAGTAACAGAAAAAGTAATAAAAAATTTACAAAAGGCAATTTAATCAACAACTGAAAATAATACTGCAGGAAAGTTGATGAGGCATTGAAACAATTTATAACTGTTGCCAACATCACACTAATAATTTCATTAAGATATCTGTCCACTAATAGCTTAAATATGTAGCAGGACAGTGATGTGCCACTATTTTAAAACCAGGGAGTATCAAACAGGACCAGAGCTGCCAGGGGGCCACTACCATCACAAGACTGAAGTATCAGCAACAGGAGTTGTGTGCTGCCCCATACATCCTGGTTTAGATCTGATGGGTCTGTGTCACAGTCTTCTTCCTTCTGCTTGCTAGTTGGATTCTGCATTAGTTTTGTTTCAACCAAAAGCTTTGAGAAAGCTGCAATCTCAGTCATCTCATAAGGTTTCTGTCACACAGCTTGCTGTTCCAATTTCCATGTTCCTAACTGTCTAACATATTCTATCAGTATATGCAAAAATACCTTCAAAATGAAAAAAAACATCATCTGACTACAAATAATTTGGCATTGAAACAGTCTACTCAACTAAAAAATAATGTATGTCCTACTGTTAAGACTTTTCATGAAACCTAGTAACACATCCAACAAGCATGTCTCCTTTGGGTCAACTTAAGGAAAAGGGTTGATTGCTAGAAACAGACACATGAGCAGTATCTTCATCATCAATATTTTTACACAAAAGACCCCCACACTAAACTGCCAGGGTCTACCTTAACCCAAACACAAACACTTCCCACATATACAAGTCACCTGTATCAAAACTCCCAAATCCTGAACTTGAGCATACATCAGCTCCCAGCACTCCTTCCTATATTCTGTGATGGTTCTTCTCTCCCTCATTTTTGCCACAAAGCCTGTGCAGGTGCTTCTGAAGCATCTGTTTACTTCCCTCCTCTTACAGCTTTCTGGAGAAAGTGCCAGAAGATTGTTGTCACCTGCACTTAACTGTTGTCAGCTCAGTAGCAGCTGAAAGTAGACAGCTGAACATAGACAAAAAAGTATCTTTGTTGCTGCTCCTAAAAGTTCCTGCCATACAAGCAGGAATAATCAGGGGCAGAGGAAGAGAAATCTAAGAAAATCAATTGAGGTCAAGAGTTTATTAAGGTAAATCACATTTAGTTTCATTTAAAAATCTTTGTGAGCATATCACAAAACACAGAGGTGTTACTGATTTCAGCTTTAGAATGTGGCTTTTCTAAAACGTATTTTTAAATCTCTAGTCATATGAAGCATTGTGCTTACAGGCAAGCACTGAGGTACCCAGTTTATGTGCTGAAATGAAGGTTGTTCAAGCAAAACTCATAATGATAAACTGGAGGAGTAGATTCTATTATTATTTTTGTATTAGCTAAGCAAAGAAAATTCACCATTTTCATAGGGCTTATAAAATGATGGCTGCCAAGTTACCAGTCTGATAAACCAAATCCTGAGTCATTAAAATGTATTTTCTTGCACATCATGTAATCATTTATACTTGCTCGATTAGTGTAAACACCTTAAGGCAGCAGAATTCAGGTTTGTACTGCACTAAATATGAAGTCATAAATTGCATTTTCTTGTAAAAGAGGCATAGAATCAAGATTGATGTTCTTAGCAGACCTACTGCTGAGCTAGTGACAAGTAACAGAGAACTCAAAGATGGTCAACAGAAGTTAAAAATTAAACAAATTTATAGAATTTGCTAATGTGTAGATATTCATTTGCACAAACTTGTTTTAGATCCCCATGAGTGTAATGAAATAAACAGCTGCTATAATGGACAAAAACATTGGTTATATCGAAGAATTAATTTAGACTGAAATGTTACAAAAACATTTTGTACTTTTACCTTTATATTACAACTGAAGAATAAAAGAAATGGAAAACAAAAGGTACGTGAATTTACGTGTTAATTGTAAGTGTCCTTTACTTTTTTCTTTTGCTTCTTGGTTAACTTTTCTTTTGGATTAACATATTTTGATGCACAAGAGAAGCATTCTGCAAGAAAGCTTTGCTTTAAGAATAACATGACTTCCCTAGAAGCACTGTATACTCACATGCACATGTGCACATTTCATCTCACAATAGCTAGCTTTATCAAAGATATTTAGTGATGCTGATGGCACCTAAAGCAAACTTTTATATATATATAAAATCAACAGATATTTATCTGACTGTTCCTTTAAAAAAGGTAAAACTCTTTCTACAAAGTCAAATATTGCCCAAGGCATACCCAAGGTTCATGTAGCTTATCAGCACATGTCAAATTCCTTCAGCTCTGCCCACTCAAGCATGTCTGATTTGCAGCATTAACCCATAATTCAACTTTAAATCAAGTTCTTTGGTCCTAGCCCTCACTTTCCCTTGCTGTAAGCTAGTAAACTTCTTTACCAAAAAGAACTCCTTCATGACTGAAGAAGAAAAAAATAAAAATATTCCTTATTCATAGTTAAAACTATGCCAATTCATCCCACCACTAACTTGTCAGATCTCTACCATCCTGTATCTAGTTCTATTAACAATTTTCACTCTGAAACCACACTACAAATGTCTGTTAACCTGAAACATTGCCCCAATTTGCACCACTTCAAGGACTTTGGCTGTACTACAGCAACTCTAGATCATTTGTAAATTAAAACATTAATTTGGGAAGCTGAGTACACAACCTTTTACTCTACAGAAGCTGTGTGGTATTTAAAAGTCTAGTCAAAAGCTTTAAGGGGCCAGAGAGCAGGAGGTCTGACCTTGAATGCCTTTCTAAGCACATATTAATGCAAGTGCTTTTCCTCATCATTGGCTTTTTTGACTGGGACTGGTCATGAACTGAGTAGAATGGAAAAGGTCAGATTAAACCATAAAGAAACAGTGCCATCATAACTCAACATATGCTTTCCCCACAGAGCCCTAATTCCAAGCATATCTTGACTCTGCCTCCTCTACTGACCTTAAGAAAAAAATAAATATTTGTTAGCTTCTCTATTAGGCTCATCTCAGAGTTTCCAATCACTGCCAAATAATTACTGCTTAACCTCAGGCTCACATCCCTTTGCTATATTTTCTCAAGATAAAAATTATAACCCCGAGGCAGGTAGCTTGGGAACATATAGGTTAGAATGGAATAGTCCTTAGGTCTTGGGAGCATGTATGCATATATGCTCAGTGATTTGAAGTGAAAAATCTGGCTTCTCTTTTGCCCCTGCTAAAGCCTGCAGCTCACATTCCCTGTCAGTCCTTCCGTTCAGATGACAGTCCGCTCAAAAGCATAAAGGAAGCTTTCCAGTGTAAGCAGCCCAAACAATATTAAACTATTAACTTCAGTTATAAGAATCATATTTATCAAGAAAATGCACACCCTGATTTTTAAATCAATCCAGAATTCACCAGTTGTCACATATATCAAGGTTCTTAAAACTAGGAACTGAACTTCCCAGAGACCCAATCTCAAACATCTCGCAAAATAAAACTGTGGCTGTGACAGAATCCTCCATCTCATAGCTACAGCCCACAAGAGCTACCAAATAGGAATTTATAGCTTAAAGGAGAAAAGACATTGTACAACAAAATATCACTCTACACGTAACAGTAACCCTGCCAAAAACCTTTTCCAAATTTGTGTGTATACTTATTTCAAGATTTCTGTGCATCCTAAACTATCAATAGGAGACCAGATGTTTCAAAGTCCAGCTAATACGTGGCAATCAATGTAGGCACAGGAGAAAAGGCAGAAATGGGCTTACAGTCCTTAAAATATTAAGAAATAAGCAGCACTTAACTGTTTGTATTAGGTTAAAAATAGAAATATTTCTAAAAACAAACAAACAAACAACAAAACAAGATAGGCGGGGCAAATTCATTAAAAAGAATTATCAGATTTTATAACAGCAGTACATGTCTTCTCAATTTAGAAAAATGTTACGTGCTTAGGCCTCAATATTCTTGATGGCCAAGCAAAATAATATAAATCCCCCTCACATACACCCCCATAGATGCATCATTGGAGTGAAGCTGGGAAGCAAATTTCTGGCAGAGCCTGGTAGGTTTTCACAACAAATTTCTAAGGCTTGTGTGTTCCTAATCTACCTCATTCCCCTTTTACCATCTATTCTTTAGCTTTTTCAGACATTCTTTCTTAATGTCTATATATTAAAAAGTAACTTGCTTTCACAACTTTCTCAATCTGCTTTATGATGTAAATGTCACACTCTCATTATGGATGTTGTCTGTTATCTCAGGTAATCAGCAGAGAGCCAAAATTTTCCAAACAAAAAAATTATATTCATCCACTGTCCACAGTGTATAGCAAGACCATCCAAGATGTATAAACAATAAAGTACTTTGCATTTACAAAATTTTTAATTATAAAAATATCTGAAGCACAAAATCTAAAGATACAGAAGTGATAGAGTGCTATCTTCATAAGCCTGCAGATGTACCACACTGATGTTCATGATGCTGCTCACAGATTTGCTATTTATATGTTGCTATTCAGAAGCCTATTGTGTCCACGAATCTGAAAATACACATCAACACTACTCTGCAATTTGTGAAGCAGCAGGGTACATGTGCATTTTTATAGGTGTGAGTGATGGAATAAATTAAGAAAGAGAAATACAATGCTAAGAAAGATGCTTAACACAGAAATGGGAATAGAATGGAGATACAGAGGCTACAGTGGAGAAGGCAGCAAGTGTAATGCAGGAAAAGGAAAGATCTATGAGGCTGGGTAAGTGAAAAGGAAATAGAAATCAAAGAAATTACACTGAAGACAGTGAGACAAGGGGAAAAATAAAGACATTTGATGTTTAACAGATCATACAAAAGAACAAACAGTGCCCCTTTAAGATGTAAAGTCTACTCTCTGTAGGTACAGCAGCAAAAATATTTCTATATTCCAAATATTTTCATTGCTTTCTAATCACATGGCAGGCAACAAGTATAACACTCCAGGAATCA